AAAAATTAGGACCGAACCATTTCGAACAAAGCTAACAAAAATTGGAATCAACAATGATATTAAATCATAAAATTAAATGAATAGTATATAAATGACATTCATATTTTTTATTTTTTTATTCTATTTTTTTATTCTATTTTTTATTTTTAATACATTTTGATGATAAATTATTAATGAACTTTTGAATGCCAGTTTTACATGTTAAAGTTCATAGTTTATCTAATATAATCTTATTTAGAAATTAAAAGTAAATTCTTTTTAACGCTTAACTCCCTGTACATCTCTTACTTAAAAGTTTTGAGGATAAAATATATCAAATTTTGACTTTTTACGTATTTCACAAATAGTCTAATATTATATATCGATGTTCCAAACTATTAACATGTTAAAATTTATCCCAAATATTTTAATATGTGGATTGGATTTAATCAAATATACTTTTCAGAGTCAAATTTTATACATTTTCTTATAATTTAAAGTTATGATCCATGGATTCCTCTCATAATTTAGAAACATAACAAATCAATATATTAAAAATTATCAGGTTAATGTATTAAAATGACTTTAATCTAATCTAATTATAAAGTTCACTTCTTAAATTTTTCCTTTGTTTTCGAAGTAAAAAATTATGAATTTATTACATAGATATAATCAATAAGAACACATTAACTCACGGACATCAAAGGATTCGATAACACTAAATTACTTTCATAATTAATTAAGAACAAAAATACATTGAACTCCAAAAATAGTAATTTATACACGTAGAAAAATCATTAGATAAGTAGAAGTATCATTTGATAAGTTTTAGCTTACTTTTTTTAATTTTTGTTCGAGCACAAAGTTTTAATGTATATTTAATGTTTATAATAAGAGAGATAAATTAATTTCAATATGATATTAAAAGAAAATTTAGTTAATTTAATATAAAATTAGAATTTGTTACTAGTCTAAAATTTTGATGCAATTTTATTTTCGAACTTTACAAATTAATATGTTTCATATTAACATTTTAATTATTTATACCATTTGACATGTTCTATTTCAAATATTAACCTAAAACACATTTTAAGATACAAAAAGTATCAGGTTAATTATATTTTTAGTCGCTAAATCATAATACAATTTTAAAACACCTATATCAGATTTTCCTATTACTCTTGCCACATATCTTACAATTATATGCTTGATAATGGATAACCAGTATTCGTATATACAATACTTGAAACAATCATTTGGAATTTCGCTTAGAAATTATTGTCTAACCATACTTTAAATATATACATAACCTTAGGTATAAACCATCATTTAATTCAATAAATACTTTTAAACAAACTTCAAAGTTACAAGAAACAAAAGAAATAAAGCCTCAACTCATGGTTTGAACAAGTCGCTTAACGCTTGTCCTAGCTCAACGAAATAAATTCTTTAGCGTAGTGAGAAATCACTCACTCTACGAATACAAAAAATAAAGAGTTCTCGTCGTCCAGTGAGAACTTTCGTTCATCCACTATTACAACAAGCTTCTCCCCCAAACTGACTCACTCAACCACATGGCTCGCTCTATAAATGCAAAAACAGGGGTTTGCTAGCCTAGCGAGCCTATGCTCACTCAACGAGTCTGCAAAATTCTATAGAATGACAATTTTGCGGAATTTGAACCTACCAACTTTAACTTCCTTACCTCAAATATACCTCCCAATATACATAGATCAAATCTCGCTATTCTAAACCTTAAGTGCAATCCACCAACCTGACTATGACCAAACTTAACTCCCACTTTGATCACTTTGCCAAAAAGTCATACTTACCAACACCAATTCACCACTTAAAAGTTCAGCAATCACTTTTACCCATTTATAATTACATTTTGACAAGCCAAGTATCCAAGTAAATCCTAAATGGCCTAAAAATTGACCTTAAACTTCATGTTTCCCGTTCAACCATTATCTCAAAATCTCATATATCAAAATCTTATATTTTACATAAAACAAGCCTACAATTAAAACTCAGTTATTACTTCTTTATTCAATATCNATTATCATTAGATATAATGAGCAATTTTGTTATTTATTATACATAGTTTTAACTAGACTGGATGTTAGAAATTAACTGAAATAAATACATGGTATCCGTTTAAAGAAAAAATTGCTAAATTCTAAATATTATTTAAATTCAAGTAGTTTAAGATCAAAATACTTTTGACTACAATAAAAAATATACAAAGATCATTAGATTGTTAATAAAAAAATGTAACATTATGTGAAATACAATTTACTTTTTTTCTTTATTACGGATGAACGTGTTCATAAAAAAATTTTGACTTAGAGTTTTCATATCATGTGTTATCATCAACCTTTCTTTAACCTGTGATTCTTTTATATAAATAATTGACAAAAAGAAATTATTGTATTCTTTATACTCTTTGATAAGTTTGTGTCTTTGAAAAGTTTTAACCAATGTTTTCATCTCTATGTTACATTTTTCATGTGTGTAAATAGACATGTTTATTCAAAACAACAATAAATGTGTAACTCATTTTCAAACAATTCCCATAATTGTCACAATTTATAATTTATGATACATAGGATCAAAAACATTTTTACTCAAACTAAAATAGATCACAAACTTGTATAAGGCAAATAGCCTTTCTACACTTTGACAACATTTTTATTCAAAATGAATCAATGCACAAGATTAACATGTTTTAAAAAAATTATTGAGGAAAACACAAGTATATATATTATGAAAAGAGTTTCTTTAACATGACAATATAAAATATCGTGTATGTTGCAACTATAGTTTACGACTGTTTTTATTATGTGAGTCATATTTCACTTATTAGATAAAACAAATATCGCAATATGTTGTTGCATCTATTAGATAAAACACATGAGATAAAACACATGTGTTTTAAAATTGTTGTTATTTATAGAAAGACTTAATACTTATATTGATTCAAATTTTCATAACTTTTGTTCAAAGTGGTTATTAATTTTTTCAACGTTTAAAGTGGTCATCATTTTTGTAATTTTTGTTCATTTTAGTCATTTTTTTACAGCGTCTAAATCGTTAACAAAAAATGAGCCTCGGTGAATGATAACGTGACCTTTTTTTTTTTACGTGACTACTTATGTTCCTTTTTTCACCTCATCATCTTCAACCTCTCACCACCATATCACCATGGTTTCCTTCCACCGTCGCTGGCGATTCGCCATTATTGCACTTTTCATCTTCGTCAATCACCACATAGCAACACAGAGTTACAAATCATCATTGNCAGCGAGCCTATGCTCACTCAACGAGTCTGCAAAATTCTATAGAATGACAATTTTGCGGAATTTGAACCTACCAACTTTAACTTCCTTACCTCAAATATACCTCCCAATATACATAGATCAAATCTCGCTATTCTAAACCTTAAGTGCAATCCACCAACCTGACTATGACCAAACTTAACTCCCACTTTGATCACTTTGCCAAAAAGTCATACTTACCAACACCAATTCACCACTTAAAAGTTCAGCAATCACTTTTACCCATTTATAATTACATTTTGACAAGCCAAGTATCCAAGTAAATCCTAAATGGCCTAAAAATTGACCTTAAACTTCATGTTTCCCGTTCAACCATTATCTCAAAATCTCATATATCAAAATCTTATATTTTACATAAAACAAGCCTACAATTAAAACTCAGTTATTACTTCTTTATTCAATATCAATTTTTTTGTTATCTAAAGACCTATACAAGTTTCAATTGACCATAATACAGTTCCCGAATCTTAGTTTTCACTATACAGTCATTTCCTTTAAAAATTTACATACCAAAACTTTAGTTTAGACCAAAAATAGCCAACAACATTATCTATTTACTATAATCAACTATATAAAATATTTGTACCCCTTAGGACTCTAAAACATTAGCATTCAAAATTCAAGGCAACACTAATTCACATTAATAATTTAGCAATACTTCAATTTCACACATCAAACCATGACTATTACCAAATAATCATTTATTAAATCAAATATCATTCTGAACACATGATCAAACATAAATTCATAGTTCCTAACATAAAATAAAACAAATATTAGCTTCCTTTACTTGGTTAGAAAACTCAAACAACTCTATAAAGCAAACTACCATTACCTAAGCTCAAATAACTCTATATTTACTTATAGACCATAAAATCATGATTATGGTAGGTCCTTAGAATCACTGATCCACAAAGAACTAGAAAGAAAAGCTTAAAGATACATGCGTCAACCTTATAACATGTGAATTAACCATAAATTTAAAAGTAAAATGAGTAAAAACTAATTTAGTTTATAAAGAAAATTGATTAGATAATGCTGTAGACCTTAATCAATCCTGTGACTTAGACACTTCTTAATTGTAAATTAGTTTTTCATACTGAAGTTAATCATAATTTTTTTATGATCTATCTAGTGAGAGAGAGAAAAATTAGATACAAATTTAAAATAAGTATAAAAGAAGTTATTTAATAATAAGAATGGAGAAAAAAATGTAAAAAATTTAAAGTTTATAATTCTTTTTTCTACTTTTACACCAATTTAAATATTTGATAATTATTTTTCATCTCTTTCCTTTTACTAAACAACCCATAAATATTTATTTATGGTAATGAAAAAAGAATGTTTATTCTAAAATGATCGTGACTCACTGTCACAAACACTTATCAAAGTATAATCAAAACTGGAAAAAAATACGAAAAACTTATTCCTTTTCAATCAGAAAATCTTATTTGCAAAAAATGAATAAATAAATAAATAAATAAATAAATAATTAGTTTCACCAAAGCAAAATCTAATATCAGAACCGCACGTGCACTTCCTATGTGACACCTTTCACAGTTTAACTGCCACTTTTATTATTCTATTTTTCCAATTTCAGAAATTCAATCACATAATTTTCCTGTACCAATTCCAGACTTTTCATAATAATAATAATTCATTGATCCTATTCTATTTTTTAATTTAAATTTCTATTTTGTTTTTTTTGTTTTCCCCTTCGGGGATAAATGTCTCGGTTTTCTCAACTGGTATCTTCTAATGTTTCAATAGGGTTTCGAATTTTTTCTGTGTTTCCTTCCGAGATTCTCTCTGCTTTGGTTTTCTCAGTTTTTTTTCCTAATTCGCGGCTCTCCCAGGTTGAATTTGGTAGGTTTTTCCAATTTAGGGTTAGGGTTTTGTGCGTGGTAGTCAATGGTTTGTTGCGTGCAAATTTAATTGGGAGTGTTTTTATTTTGGTACCCGCTTCAGTTTCGTTGGTTCTGTTGCAGAGAGAAATGGGCACTTTCCCCTTTTGATCTTCTCGTCGAATCAAGCATCAAAATCTGAGCTTCTTTTGTTCTCCCGCTGGTTTTTTGATTTGGGGTGGATTTTTTTGTTATTTCTATATTGGGCATCCTAGTACATTGAATTGGTTCGGCATTCACTCGAATTTGCAACGTGAGAGCTGGAGAAGCTGCGATGAAGTGGGTATTCTCCAAGTAGCATTCAATTCGAGGTCGAATATTCAGTCCGTGCATGGATTCTGGAAGGGATGCGGGTGGTGTGGCAGGAACAGTTCTAATTCCCATGCGTTTTGTTTGGCCATATGGAGGAAGGAGTGTGTTTCTCTGCGGTTCTTTCACACGGTGCAAATTTTGTTGATTGTTGCATGAGCATTTTAGTTTTTTGCTTATAATGTTTTGGTTTAGTTTTCTTGTCTCTCCTTTCATTTTAATTTTTATCTGAAAGGTGGTCTGAGCTTCTACCGATGTCGCCAGTGGAAGGATGTCCAACCGTGTTTCAAGTTATTTATAATTTGCCACCCGGTTACCATCAGGTCAGTTTATGGTTGTGTTACCAGCTTAATGGTGCGTGTGTTGCGTTTGATGTTTTGTGGATTTTATAATTTGTATATTTCGTATTGTCAATATTGTTGTCAGAGTTTGAGGTGTGATGTGTGGCTCAAATATGGGATTTCAAGTAGATGATTATGATAAGCACTGATGGATTTAAAAGATGTTATTTTTAGGAAAATGTTTGACCATCATAGTTGATGGCTGTTGGATACTTAGTATGAAATTACTTGAATGCAGTACAAGTTTTTTGTTGATGGAGAATGGCGACATGATGAACATCAACCTTACGTACCAGGAGAATATGGGATGTTCAACACTGTCTTCTTGGCTACTGATCCCAACTACATACCTGTTTTGAATTCAGATGTTGCACCTGGAAATAGCATGGATGTGGATAATGAGGCTTTTCGCCGAGTGGTGAGCGTTAGTCATACCCTGACATTTATGTTTGTCTTTATTTACTGGAATGCTTTATGTATTGTGGTTATGTTGTACTTGGAAATGAAATTTCAAAACACAGGATCAATCAATACTCAATTCTATGAACTGACTAGATTCTATATAATGTTTTGTAACTCATTTTGATGTTAAGGTCTTTAATCCAGCAATATTAATCTATGTAGGCCTATTGAGTCTTCTCTCTGGAATGAAATTAGATAGAATCGTCCTTTATTCCTTATTTGTTATAACTCATAAACCTGGTAACATACAATATCTTGTTGCCCATGTTCTTCTGTTGCCTCTTATAATACGATTTCTGCTCATCTTTGAAATTTATATGTGAAAGAGGAGGAAATAGAGACAACATTAATTATACATAAATAGAAGAATTTATGTTTTCTCTTAATCAAAGACTATATGCCTATAAACTGCTATAGTTACAGTAAATAAATAAATACAGAATATTGTATTCTGACTTTCACCAGTATCTTATTTTTTTGCACTGGACAGTTAATTGTTCAGAATTCAGACTATAAGTATATTATGCTGTCCACTTAAAAAACAGGTCCGGTTGACTGATGGTAGTGAGGTGCTGCCAAGAATATCCGAAGCTGATGTACAAATCTCCCGTCAGCGTATTTCTGCATTTCTTTCTTCCCACACTGCTTATGAATTACTTCCCGAGTCAGGCAAGGTTTGGAAGTTTTTACCTTGACCCTTTATTTTGGACATTTTGAATTGGCAACATGCATCAAATTTGCAAACCTGAAACTTGAATTATGAAGTTACCAATTTAGTGACTTGTGGCCACAGGTTGTTGCTTTGGACGTTGATCTACCAGTGAAACAGGCATTTCATATACTGCATGAGCAGGTAACTATTTATCTTTTTCAGATGAATTGAAAGTAGGGCCCTTTTAGCCTATATTGAGTAATTTTTCTAATTGTGTCATTTACATACCTTTACACTGATAAATAGGCGAGAATGAACTCATGCATTTTGAATTATTCTATGGAATTTGACCAGTTATTTTAGAATCTATGCTTTGGCATTAATTTTAAGTCTTTTCCTTATTCCTTCATATGCATTAGTTTTCTTAGGTTTAGTGTGAATTGCTGATAGAAATTTGCATATGCAATTTTTCTGATCTGGATTACTTACAGGGAATTTTCATGGCTCCTCTTTGGGACTTCTGCAAGGGGCAGTTTGTTGGTGTTCTTAGTGCTTTGGATTTTATTTTAATTTTAAGAGAGGTACTTCTTATATATTTTATTTTAATTTAATTAGACTATCACATGTTTAGGATCATTATTTATTTGTATTGGCAAGTTTATTTATTTATTTATTTATTTTTTATTTTTTATAGTTTTGCAATCTTTTATGTGATGTTTTGTGATGCTGTGAAGAAAGGCTATTACATATCTACTTGTTATGACAAGTTACAAAATCTGGTTTCAAAAGGAAAAGGCAAACAAGAAAAATTATTGAAAAACATGTAGTTTTATTCTTGAAGGCTTTGGTAGTTTCTTCCTTTCCAATCAAAAAGTCTACTTGTATGACTGAACATGTGGCTTGTGCAATAAACTTCTTGCCATTGATATATGTTCAGTTTTGACACTTGGTCATCAGTTAGTGGCAGGGCCAAATTACTAAACTGTAGGAGTGGTAGTAATGGTAGTAATGTTGAGCCATTGGATGTGTATATATGAATTGATTTGTTCTGCATATTTGCATAACCAGCTCCGACCTGTTGCTATAACTACTTATTTTTAAAATTATTTCATGTTGGTTATGAATAAGATGAATTGGTGTGTAAAATTCTACTCCAAAAATTGAAATATTCTATTGTGCCATTTCTAACATTTTACATGCACAACGATAATAATCAGTGAATAAGTTTTTAACTCTTAAAGATGTTGATATTGACATTTGTTTGGGCAGTATAATATAATCTGGGTATCAGAAATAATTAATGAGGCATGATTAATTGCTCATTTGAATTGCGCAGTTTTGAGATTACTTTGCCTTTGTTGCTTCAATATACTTTGTTTATCCTTTGAGTTATACAAAGGAAACAAGATACATCCTTTGATACTTGTTTATTCATGGCCCTTTTCATAAAAAGGAATCTGTATGCAGATCTTCATCTGAAAAGAAAATATCTATCTCAATCCTATCTCAAATGAACCAAATCACAAGATTTGTGCTGTTAACAGTACTGAGCTTCTGCATTAATCCTCTAGCATTTTTTTTTTACGTTTTCTTGTCAGAGGAATCCATGTCTAATAAACCTGATACAAGTAGCTTATTTATATCTTTTATGTTAAACGTGGAAGGAGAAGGTCTGATCCATGATATTAAATTTTTTCCAAACTCACACTTAATGCTTCAATGTAATTATTTTTCGTTTTCCAGCATTATTAGTAAGAAGAAACAATTGTTTGATAACTTATTACTCTTCATATTTATAATCAGTGGAATATATAGCTTTGGTTCTTTTGCAGCTATTGTGCATCACTTATTATTCTTAAATTTTCGCACAGATACCCTTAAGTTTGTCTGTGTGTGCACGTTTGCATAGCTTGTTGAAACTTTTAATTTCCTATTTTCAGCTGGGGAATCATGGGTCGAATCTGACAGAGGAGGAGCTTGAAACACATTCCATATCAGCTTGGAAAGAAGGAAAGTCTTATCTGAATAGGCAGAACAATGGACATGGAGCTGTGTTTTCCAGACGTTTTATCCATGTAAGTTTTTTTATGGTCGTACTATGCATAACTCATTTTTTATTGCTTATTATGTTTTGTAAAATCTGTAACAGTTAATAATGAGGATTAGTAGCGATGACTGGTTTTTTGTGAACACATATTTTTATACTTTTCATCCTTTGTATAGTCTTACCATGTTACTCTTATCTTCATTAACCAATCTTTTTGTTTCTATAATTTGTAAGAAACTACTCATGATGATTGTTTTTATTTTTATAATTATTATAATAAAAATAATTATTTTTTAATTGTATTCATTGTTTTTTATTATCATAAAAAATGTGGATACATAGGTGCGATAGCGGCTATGTTTCCACCTGTATATACAAAGATCATGGTGTATAATGAACAGCTTGAGTTACTTACTGCTGTGTTTTTTTGTCGCTAATTTATCTGAGTAAATGGCTGATGAAGTTAAATGTAGATTAGTGTTTGTGATAAGCCTAAGTAAATTAAAACAAACCGATAACATAGTTGATAAATGATGGTTATGGCACCATCATAATGGAATAGTGGGGCACATTTTATGCTCACAACCATTTGCCTCCTGCTTTATGCTGCTTTTTATTATTTTTTCTTTGTGGTTCCCATTGCCCTGGCAACACTGTGGTATATAGGGATCATGGCAGAAATGGACTGTTTTTTTCAAAACACTTTTTAAAGAGTTTTAAATAGGACTTTTAGAATCTGTCTTCACTCATCGCACTCTCCTGGGCCTATCTATTGCGACTCATTACCTTCTACCACCTTCTGATGACTGTGAACCAGTGACTCAAACCCTGGTGATCAAAACTTCTGTAAACCCTGTCTGAGTTAAATATCTTATTTCCTTTTTCTAGTTTTCATCAACATCTTTTCTTTTGTCCTTTTTCTGTTTTTATAGTATTTCTTACAGTCCAAACTTCACTGTCTAAACTTATTAGGGCTTAAAATATTGAAGTGTTATTACTATGACTATTTATTGTCCATCTCGTTTTCATTTGCTGTTATTTCAGGTTAAGAAGAAATAGGCCTGTGTCTACTTAGATTTGATCTTTCCTTGTAAAAAAAAGACGAATAAATATTGTTGCTCCTTCATTATTCATGTATATCTTTTGTTCATTTTAGTTTTGATTTATTAGGTTAAATTCAGTATGTTTTGAGTAGGTAGTGTGTTTGACAGTCAATGCATGGAATGGAACATAAGACAAGGATGTTGAGTTTAAATTTTCTAGGGATGGAGTTGCCTTTGTAACCTTCCTAAAAACCTATCTTGTACTAGGCTTGTATGTGTTTCCAATCATGAAACGATTGGTGGTTTTAGTGATTATCATTGTATGCTTTAATTAAAGGTACTTGTGTATTGCATTGCACCATTTATAGTTACTGTAGTTCTATTGGTTCAATATGTTTGACATTCTTATGTATTATTCTATTATGGTGCAGTCAGGGCCATATGACAATCTGAAAGATATTGCCGTGAAAATCCTCCAAAAGGAGGTTTCAACTGTTCCTGTTATCCATTGTTCTTCTGAACATGCTTCATTTCCACAGTTACTACACCTTGCTTCACTTTCAGGAATCCTTAAATGTAAGCTTTGTTGAAAGATTTCTTTAACAATGTAGTTAGGTATGATCCTTACCAAATTGATTTTCAGGCATTTGTAGGTATTTTAGGCACTGCTCTAGTTCCTTGCCTGCACTTCAATTTCCAATCTGTGCAATCCCTGTGGGCACGTGGGTACCCAAAATTGGGGAATCAAATCGGCGGCCTCTAGCAATGTTGAGACCAACCGCTTCTCTTGCTTCAGCCCTAAATTTATTAGTTCAAGGTGTGAACTTTGTCTGACCTTGAACATAGTGTATCAAAAAGAAAAGCAACAGAGAAAGAATGAAGATATTGGTATCCTATTATACTTTTGAGGTATTAGGCTGATGATAGAGAACATTGTCTCCCACTATGAGACAAATTTGATGTATGACTAATCATCAACAGAAAACATGAATTTTATGGGGTGATATCATTTTTTATGCAAGCATTAAAATGTAAACGAAACATTTTCTTTGAGCAAAAGCTAAATTTTAGTTACATTAATTCTCGCCCTTTGCTTTTGCAGCCCAAGTAAGCTCAATACCTATAGTTGATGATAATGACTCGTTACTGGATATATATTGTCGGAGGTCTGTTGTGCTCTATATCCTTATTATTGTTACACGTCATGATGCCTAGTTTAATATACTATCTCTTAGTCGTATGGTTCAAGCATTATTTCTCCTAGCTTTTGTTCTTTGCATGGGTTGTATAATCTAACTTTTCCACCCCATCATTCTTTATTGGCAGTGACATAACAGCTTTGGCGAAGAACAGAGCGTATACACATATTAATCTTGATGAAATGACTGTTCATCAGGCAAGTTCTTTTTCATCATTTTGCATACCTATAAACTGCCAACAATCAATGTTTTTAACACATATATGTTCTGATTTCATCTTTTCCTCATTGACTTGGGATGTTTATTGAGCCTACTAGCCTAGGGGACGCGGATGATCTTAAGAATTTGTAGATTTATTTAGCACCCTTTCTGTAATTATTTTTCTTTTAAAAAGCAATGTTTAGTTGACATTATATAGCACAAGGTTAGCTAGAAGGTCTTGATTTAGGGGTTTGGTCTTGTTGAAATATATAATTTCCTTTATTCTTAAAGTAATGTAGCCTCATATCATGAATAACATTTGAACATGTGTTTTTTTTTTCTTGACTATTTGCTGCTGAGTAGATCCTGTGGATGATACTCACTAAACTTGATGAATAAATAGATTCTTAAGTAATATCTAGTATGATATGGAATTTGATTATTTTTTTCCCTTCAAACATTAAGGTCAAAAAGGCTTTGATTTAGGTGTCTGGTCTTGGTGAAATATACAATTTCCTTTATTTTTAAAATAATGTAGCCTCATTTCTTGAATAACAGTTGATTATATGTTTATTTTTCTTGACTATTTGCTATTGAGTAGATACAGTGGATGACACTCAATAGACATTGATGACTAAATAGATTCTTACGTAACATTAAGGAAGTTGGGTAATTTGATATTTGTTTTTCGAACATTAATGTCGATGCCAAGTTGAGGCTCTTTACTTTTTGATGTCAACAGTCAAGGTGCAATATATATGGGAAAAGATTCACTTATGCTGGGGGCAATTCTTGCAAACTACTTTACTTAAGAACTTGTTATATAATATAAATTCCATAAATCCAACCATTGAATTTAGATAAATTGAAATTTTTGTATGTATATAATCTTATAATCAACATTGACGTATATTTTAAAAGTATAATATGTTAAAATAAAGTTGATTGATGAAGTATCAAATAACTTTTATATTAAATATATTCTAAATTATATGAAATTTTGTAGAATTTATCTATAATTAATGAGAGTTCTCTATCCAGCAACTGGATTAAATAAATTCAATGTCTATGAATAGTTAGACAGCCACACACTTGGAATAAGTAAATTTCTCCCCCCAACATCCCTGCATTATCTATTTTTGTGAAATGATCTAATTTCCACAGAAGCCAGTCTATTTGTTAATAGTTCTCATTTTATTTAATCTGTATTAATATAAATGTGTCCTGAAGGCTATTCCTATTATCGAGACATTTTTAATTGCCACATTTTTAAGATTAGGATTGGAATTTTGTTATTGCTCTGATTGTTATATTTTATTTTAATTGAAAATATAAATGTAAGCATCGCTGTCTGCCCATTTTTCTGAGCTAATGTTGCATACTTTATCTATTGATATGAAGGCATTATAGTGGTTTTCTTCTTGTAACCTTATCAT